AGAAATTTGCATTCGATTCCGATTCTGAATACTTCTGAGACTGGAATCGATGGAATCGAATACCGATTCCGAGACTGCATCTGCGCATGCGCAAAGCCACGTGGTATCAATTACAGCAATAATTAAGGTATTAACTACTGATTTATTAACTATTATTAATATTAAAAGGTGTGGTTTAATTCGGAATCGTTTAAAACGATTCCTACTTCTCTTTCGATACGAGTACGATTCCATTCGGAATCGAAGGATCGAATACTCCGGACTCGGAATCGCCCATCACTATTTGCAGCTATAGTTTTCCATTTATGTTTCACTTTGTCATTTGTAGGAAGATGCTCGGGAATTAGCTGATTTTAGTGAAACTGATTTAGTAGAAGGACTACCACAGCATCATAGACTGAGAGATGTAAGAAAAGAAAGAAAGAATGGAAATAAAGAGAGGAACATCATTTTTTTATAATTTTTTAGGGACCAGGAGGGATAGGAGCTCAAACTGGAGCTCTGACTCCAAAACGAACTAAAAAGAAAAAGAAGAAGAAGCAGCCGCAAAGTAATCATTATCATAATTTATAATTCATTATTGATTGATCTAAGGGGAAGACTCGGAAGATGATGAAAGAGGAGGGGGAGCTGGAGTGAGACGACAGCATAGTCTTAGAGAAATGTTTCCATCGACAAGTAGAAACTTTAAATTGGAGGTATTATTATAATTATCATTATTATTATTATTACTATTATCATTATTATTATTGCTGTAGCATGTAGCATCAATTGTGTTTCAAGAAAAGATAAAATCTCAAGAAAAACTAGCTAGAAAGCTCTCCCTGCTATCAGCAAAACAGCGACTATCAAGCCGTCAAGTGTTCTTCGTACTAACAGATAAAGAGATACGTGTCAAAGAAGCCAATACCACTGTGAGTGTATAATTAGAAACAATGCAATTATTTTTCCTTCCTATAATTAGGATCTATTAATGATGTTACCGTTCGCCAGTATTATATTCTGTGCTCACTTCCATTTGTCAGGAGAACTCTCAAACATTTTGAGTATTTTTGTTCGTAACGTCACAGAAGGGGGAGACTATCAGGCTCACTTCTTTAAATGTGCTAATACTCCTGTAAGAAATAATGCTTATGATTATAATAAATTTATTTATGTACTAAATAGGCACCTGCTATAGCTGAATTGATAAACGGTGCAATGACAAATGCTAAACAACCAAGCAGACGCACATCATACAGGGTAATTTTATTATTATTATTATTATTATTATTATTATTATTATTATTATTATTATTATTGTAATTAAATCCTGTCTTTTTCCTCTTTTAGAATGATGATCATGATGAGCTGAACCCAATGTCCCACTCCATGACACGAGACATGATTGATGGGGATAACTGGGGCATTGGCTCACCCCCTCGGTCTCCCACTGGCCCCACCATTCAGCCACTGCGAACTATGCCGTCAAACAACCAGTCGCCTAACGCTTTCATACAAATGGGAGGACCTACAGGACGTGGAGGAGGAGGAGGAGGAGGAGGAGGAAGTAATCCTGGGGTAGTTGTGTCTCACATGACTTCAAGCACTGATCAGTTGGCAAGGAGAGATGTGAGCAGCAGTCCAGCAATATCAGCTGATATTGGGAGGCACTTAAGACCATCTTCTGCTGGGAGCAATTCTGGTAAGGAGAAAATGCATTATTATTATTATTATTATTATTTTAGCTTCATCTCCAAACCAATCTGGTAATGCTCACTTGCTTCACCCACGTACGGCCCAGTTGCAGCACGAGGGGATGAACCCCTCCCCACGTACTGCTAGAAGACTAGGGGAAATGGTTGCAAAGACAACCAATCAGTACACAGAGTCTGTTCTCTCTCGGTCTGCCGGGGGGGAGAGTAGGAGCAGCAGCGATATTAGGAAGACTATGAAAGCTTCTAAAATACAGCGTGATGTGGTAAGGAGATGCATGAATGCCTGCATGCATGCATGCATATG